GCTGCAAAATTAGAAGCAAACAGCACATTAGAAATTAAGGTGCCCAGTCCAGAAACAAAACTAAGGCTGACCCAGATCCCCCTGAGCAGATTTCACACTTTGGTTTGGCCCAAACTGCCAACAAGGGCCCAATGGCAAGATCCCCCTGCAGGTCGTCATGGCGACCTGCTTGTTTGCCTGCCTCTCACTCTGGTCCAGGCAGCAGTGCAGGGAAGGAGGGGGGCAGATGCCCTGCCAGCTCCCTTGAATGTGTGCCCTTTCTGCATGTCAGGCACACAAATGGTGGTTGTGTTGCCTTCAAGAAGGAGATGCAGGAGCATCTGGTGGGTGTGACACTGACAAGGGAGGCTCCCAGAGGAAGGGATGCTGAGGGAGGCGGCCTCAGGACTGGGGTGGTAAAGACATTTGTGGCAGCGAGCAAGGACAAGGGATATTGCCAGGTGTGATCATGTGGAGGGTGGGCCTCCTCTCTCCGTCGCAACAAGGTAATGCTATTTTAACAGGCTTCAGGGAGAGAGTGTTGCTGAAGGTGAAGCAGGTGCCCAACCCTTTCAGCTTGAGTAACAAATGTTCCAGTTGGCCCCTCTGAGGTGGAATGCTGGATAACTGCATACGGTTAATAAGAGCTTAGCACTTACCCTGTCCTAGATCGTAGTCATCCCCAGGAGCTGTCCATGATAGAAGGAACTGATCATCGTCATCCAGCTGCACCTCCAGGTCAGTGATTTGACAGGGTGGGAAGACATCTGTGGGGACAGCTGGAACTCCCGACATAACAAAAGAACCCCCTGACGCAGTTCTGCTGAATCTTCCCAGCTGGGCTTCCATGTCATCCGGACTTGGTTCAGGTCTTGGTGCATTCATTTTTATTTCACCTGTGAAATAGGGTTTATGATAAGACAGGTAACAGCATGTAACAACAGACCTCCAAACTTTCTTATTGTCCTCCTGGACTATGCAATTTATTTCCTTTCTCTGCAAAGACCAACTGAAGATACTATGACAAATATACAATCATATCTGTTTTCCTTGCTAATCTGGAGTGTGGGTTTCTCCTTTTTCTATATTTATATTCAGCTACAGCTTCTGCATTTCTTCATTTGGTTTACAGTGTGAGCTTTACAGGGTTGGTATCCAGATATAATTCTGTTTCTCTGATTATGTTCTTCAGATGTCAATAGGCAGAAAGATGAAGCACTTGTTTCCCTTCTTTCCCACTATTCTTATGTCATGATCCTAAATGAAGAATTTTTGTAGCATCACCATCACTTCCCGAGTCGGGAGGAGGGGAAAGTACAGAAGAGCAAATGCTCAGCTTTTAGGGGCCTTTCAGAAGAGGGAGGACTTGGCAGTCCTGGAAATTGTTGGTGCTGCTGCTGCAGGGAAAAAGAAGGAGAGGGGGCCACAGGGCATCACTGCCAGAACTGGAGGGAGAATGAAATTGGAGAGGGCAGTGGCAGGGAAGTAAAAGGAGGGCATGGCAGGCTGTGTGTGCAGCTGCAGGAGAAGGGGAAAAAAGAGGGAGAGGAAGCAGTTCCACCAGTAGATTCCATGCTGCTGGCAGATGGTCAGTACTGGAAAACATTGAGATGCAAATTGAGGATGCCTTATGATACCCAGAGAGGGATGCCAGAATAATATTTTTCAAAACTACACCTTCAGGCAGTGCACTCCATTGGCAGGCAGACATCTGTTTAGAATATTGCAGGTGAAAAGGTAGGGACGTGTGTGTGTGTGTGAATGTGTGTGAGGCTTCACTCTCCTTGTTCAATCAAGGCCTACATCACGCAATTATGGTGAAGGGACTGGCAAGGAGAAATCTTTGTTTCCCTGACAACACATGTTTTACATATCAAGAATTCTGATTTTCACTGTGGACTCCATTCTATGTTAACACCACTCCTCTGTTTCTTTTCTAGAAAGCAATGCTAGTTTATAATTAATCTTACCATCTTCTACATAACCAGGTACATAGAAAGCATGATTTTGTCTGCAGATTCTTCTGGTAGTACTGTCTTTTCCTTGGACACGCACTTTTAAGTTGTATCTACCATTTTCTTTGAAAGATGTGAAATATCTTGAGTAGATTCCATCATGCTTCCGAATATCAGCACCTTGAATGTACAGATTCAAAATTAACATCTAAAGCAAACATATCAGCATTAGAAAAATACATGAGGTATACAGGAGATGTTCCTTCTTGGTATCTGCTCCAGTTTTCATGGAAATAATGGCATATTTTGAATATTGTAACATGGAACCATAGCAGACATCCCAATATGTGCAGAACAGGAAAGCAAACCCAATACACTAGCATAAGTTGTCACCTACCACATCCTTGATGAGCCTAATTTTCTGCTTCCCGCAGTCAGCCAAAAGCCAGCGATTTGTGCAGCCCTGGTGGATTAGCAGATCATCATAATGCCCAGTGCTTTTTTTGTAAAAAAAAAAAAAAAGGTACCGGAACTCATGTCACTGGCAGTAAGCGCGCGACCACACACACAGCAGAGAGTCCCAAGCCTCCCTCACTATCTCACTATCAGATAGTACATAGCAGACACAAAAACAGCCTGCAGGCACTGTGTTAATGATGTTTGCTACTGATTTGCTACGATTCAAAATCACTTCGTAAAATCCATTGGAAAAAAAGGTGCCGGAATGCAGTTCCAGTGCGTTCGATGACAAAAAAAGCCCTGATAATGCCCAAGATTTCACAGACACTGCTCTGCATGATCTGATGTTGCTTGGAGTGAAGCCTGGCAGCTGAGGAGAGTGGCCTGATATACAGTAATGATGCCAGCAGATTTCAAAGTCAAACATGATAGACTGTGGGGACTGGAACTTCAAACAAACCATTTAGTTTACAGAAGTCTAAGAAACAAATGACATGCTACAGAGAAAGTCAAATACATATAATATACACATAAATTACTATCTTGTTAAAGAGTTGTAGATATCGTCTTTCTTTACACCCAAGAAGCACTGATCCACAGTGAAAGGCTTTAAACTGTAAATATATTCAGAATATTGCAATGGTTAATTGAAAAGTGTGAGTCCACTCTTCTTTTCTTGGGAGAGTCCTGCAGGTTTTGTGTAATTGTACATACATTCAAAAAGATCAGGGTGTATCCTGTGTCCTGGCAGGCAGCAACTCTTGCCCAAAATATTGCCAATCACAGTTATACAGGAATAAGTACATAAAGTTGGAGTGTGCTTGCTTTGGCATTTGCACGTGTCCAAAGGAACTTTAGTAAGGTTGTAATCTGACATATTCACAGGAAGCTCTCAACTTTAACTAACATAGGGACAGATAATGCAAAACAAAAGTGAAAAGGCAATCTAACTTCTGCTTTAAAAGGAAGAGTTGTTGGGGTGGGAGGAAGAGTTAGCAAGGAGAGGCCCCCAATAACACCGAGCTCTCAGTTGAATCTGGGGAGCTGCAGGATAAGAGCCGTACATTATTAAAGTCTATAATACAGTGTTAAATACTTGGATTTCCTAGAAGTCCAAATGATAATCAGAGAGGTGAGGTAGATTTAGCTATATGCAATACAAAACGAAAACAAAAAAAAAACAGCCATATATTCCACACGTTCACTTCGCTGTAGGCATGGACAATGCATATCATGTGGAATAGGAAAAGAGGCAGCTTTTTGGGCCAAACCAGAAATGACCCACTCATGAAACAGGGTGGATGCCCTGCCTTAGGAGGCAGCT